GCAGCACTGAGAAACTAAAGCCACTTCCGCATGAGTTCGATTCCCGCCTGCCCCAGAGGTGACCACATGGCATGGCAGACCTCTCCTGACCCACCAGCTGCTCCCCTCAACAGTGTACTTCGTCAATCTGTCTGTTCTGTTCCCCACTCTGTCTCTGGTGAAGCCTCTCGCTGCCCCTGAGCCTCTGGACTGTACCCCAGTTCTGTATGTACAAATAAATAAATAAATCTTTAAAAAAAAAGAATTATTAATTGAAGGTACAAGAAATGGGAAGATATTCTATATTCATACTGAAAGAATTAGCATCTTACCAAAGGAATATAAAGTTTAAATGCAATCCATATTAATGCTTCCATGGCATTCTTTAAGGAAATTGTTTACTGTAATATAATGAATACCAAAACAATCTTGACAAAAAGAATGAAGATACCATACTCACAGACTTCAAACTAGACTAAAATGCCTTAATAATCAAAACCAGTATAGTATTGAAATAAAAATAGACACAAATCAATGGAATAGATTAAGAGCCCAATACAATTAACATGTATATGGTCAATTTATCTACACAAACCAAGAAAATGGAAAACTAATAACATTGGACAATCACCTGCAAAGGCATTAGATTTTCATATATCATAATATCCACAGTTTAATTCAAAATAGATTGAGGATTTAGTTGTAATCTCTGAAAATATAAAATATGTTAAAGAAAACATAGACAATATACTCCAAGGCAATGACTTTTGAGATGTTTTTAGGGTCTGGAATCTAACTAGGGAAATAAAAGCAATAAAAACAACTGGATGGGGCTCCTTGGTGGTTCATAGATTATGTCTCAGCCATATCACTGCTGCAGTCTGAGTTCAAACCCAGGTGAGGGAGCTAACCCACATATGATGTAGCAGACCTCTCCCATCTCTTCTGTGGCTCCCCGAAGCAATGCATTTCTGTAAATTTCCCTGTTCTGCATCCCACTCTGTATCTAGAAAATATTTGTTCTTACCTCCCATACCTCTGATCTATTCCCCATTCTTTTATGCAAAAAAAAAAAAAAAAGTAACAACTGGGATTCTATCAAACTAAAAAGATTCTGATTAGTGAAAGAATCTATCATTAAAATAAAAAGACTTCCAGAGAGGAGAATATATTAGCCTATCATACATCTGACAAGTGGCAAATATCTAAAATCTACAAAGAAATGCAAATTGAAACCACAAGACATATCAGAACCAGAAACAAGTGTTGGGCAAGGTGTGGAAAAACAAAAACAAAACAAAACAAAACAAAACTCTTGTTAATGTTGGTGGGAATGCAAATTGACTCAGCAGACAAAATGAATTTTTCTTGAAATATTAAAAATAGCTTTATTTAACCCTGGTGGCAAAGAGGGTTAAAGTGACGCATTATAAAGCTCTCCAAAGTCACTGCAGCATGAGTTCAATCCCTGGCCAGGGAGTTGACCCACATGGCGCAGCAGATCTCTCCGAGCCCACTCTCCACTCCCCTCGGCAGTGTGTTTCAGTCTATCTGCCTGTTGTACTTCCCACTCTGTCTCTGGTGAAACCTCTCACCAACATACCCCTGGCCTGCACCCCAGTTCTGTAAGCATAAATAAATCATTTTTTTAAAAAATGGATCTATCATGTGATCCAGCAATTGCACACCTAGACATCTAACTGAAGAAGACAAAACTAAAAATTCGAAGTGATATATGCACTCCTACGCTCACTGCAGCACTACTTACAGTTGCAATGTTATTAAAACAACCTAAATGCCCCAGGACTGATGAGTGGATTAGGAAGAAGCAGAATATATACACAAGTGGCTTACTACTCAGGTATAAAAAAAAAGATGTAATCTTGCCATTTGCAAAAATATGGGAAGAACTGGAAGGGATGATGCTGAGCAAACTAAGTCATAAAGAAAAAGACAAATAGTGGCTAACTTCACTCATTTGTAGACTACAGAGAAGCAAAACAAAAGAACATTCAAAACTAAGCCAAAACAAATCTAGAAATCTGACTGTAGAGTTGAAACTCCAGAGGAGACAAGTCAGAGGTAGAAACCAAATGGGAAGTAGTTAAATTACTATGATAGAAAATTATAAGTTTTGGAACCTCCCTGGTGATACAAGGGGTAAGTCTCAGCACTATGAAGCTATGCACAGTTACTGAATTCCATCCCTGGTCAGGGAACTAACCACAGGGCACAGCACATCCTAACATACCCACTGCTCCCCTTAACAGTGTATTTCAGTCAATTCACCTCTTCTGCTCTGGTGAATCCTCTCATCCCCAAAACCTCACACAATGGGATCACAGGCCATAATCTTTTTTTCATCCTAAAAAGTTAAGTAGATCTCTTTCTCAAGTGTCTAAAAAATACAGACAGAATTATGCCAACAGTGGAGGATTTCGTTGTAAATGTAAAAACTATCAATTCTATCTACAGAATAAAAATTCCTGGAAACCATTCAGGTAAAGTATATTTAGTGTCAAAATAAGACCTGGAACTATGGCAAACAATCCCACCAATATTAAATCCTAGTCCAACACCATCCTTTCCTTCAAGTTGTTTTAGGATCATAATAGGCCACCTGGAGAGAGCTACACCACAGCAGATAGTACTTGACGCCATGACACTTTCACTGTCATTAACAGGAGCTTGATGTTTTAGGTTATCTTTCCCTTCTTCTTTAGGTTCTGCTTTATTTGTAAGTGTCTGAGTAAACTGATTTCCTTGATTTTTAGGCAAAATATTATATGAGAAAGAGATGTGTAAATAAAGTTACTGGCATTACATTGCTTCATTGATTAGGGTAAAAAGTACATGCAGCTTACTATTTTTCAGCTATTGTCTGCTAATATCATTTTCCACATAAAAGTAGGCAAATTTGTGTTTAATTATTTTTATACTGAATAAATGATGTATAAAAAGGAACCTAGTTATTAAAATATAGGAGTTTTTAATCAACTAAAGAGTGGAAGGAAGGAATAATGTTAAATCAACTATTAACAGAAAGCTATTTGAATCATAATAATAAGCAGAAATGTCTTTATCCACCAAGTATTCTTGAACATGTTCCTTTAGTGAAATCTTTTCACATGACTGATTCTTAAGTAGGTTAATAATAATTGCTATAAATTATTTGTAGCAATACAGAGAAAAGTAAAATAAAATAATGACTGAGATAATTTGCATTTCAATTTCTACATAAGGTCATACCTACTTGTTTATCACTATTGACTTAAAAGTTTAATTCTGGAAACACCACAGAATATACTGGCCTGGAGGCCTGGAAGGGCCTAGAAAGGCCTAGAAAGGCAAACCAGAGGACCATGTAGTAAAGTCATAAAATTTCACACACACAAAAAATACTAATTCCTACTATTTATTTATTATGGTGATGACAAGGTCATCCAATTAATCCAAAAACTGATGTGCTTTTCTTAATTGTAATACAACATTTAGACTTACAGAAAAATGACAGATGAAAAGTCTATAGAGGTAAATAAAACTGAAAAATAGTCATCTTTGTGGGGTAAATGAATACTGTTGATTTATATTTAAATAAACACCTAGATATAGAAATTCTAAGAACAGTGAGTAAAATTAACATGATGCCGACAAAAGACTCCAATAATATTGCTTATTACCTATTCTGATCAAATTATAAATCCTTAAGCGTTTTATAAATTAGTTCAACAAATATTTCCTAGGGAATTAGGCATTAAAACTACAGAAGCTAAAACATTATCTTTTCTCTCACAGAGTAATAGTGATATATAAAATAAGAACTGATCTGGAATGTTCTTCCTTTACTTGTCTATTAGTCTGGGCACTCTGATTTTACCTTAGGGCTAAGATGAAGTATCACTTCCTATCTGAAAGCTTTCCTGATTTTTATTATTATGTAATATACTGCTTACATAACCCATTCCCAGACTATATCAGAAGATCCATAGCACAAGACCCCCAACAAACACCTGAAAATTCTTAGAACCAATATTATTTATATCCTATTCAATATGTTTGTTTCCAACATTACTAAAATTGTCACTCATGAAACTAATGGTGGTATCCTCTTTGTACTGTCTGCTTAAAGAGTAAATTTTGGAGCCAAGTAAGATGTAGGTAAACTACTGTCTTTTTGTCTTTGCCATCTCATTTTCCTCGTCTTCTATTTTTTCTTATTTTAAATAGAATGAATTGCACAGTTTCTTAAATCCTCTGTGAAAGAACACAGAATTAAAGCTAACTAAAAAATAAACAAAAGAAAAAAAGTAAACATTACCTTTATATCAAAATTACAATCAAGTCTTCTAATTAATACGATGAAAGTGCCAGAAGAATTATCTTTCAGTGGTGGAGGAACGATGGGTTCACAGGCATTCTCTGGTTTTGAGTTAATCAAAAAACCCTGAAAAATAATTGGGAATAAGTTTTTTTTTTTCTGTTTCAATCAATAAAGTCAATTCAATTTCTACAAACATCTCTTGCATTTGTTTCATATGTTTTTCATTATGACACAGGAATTATATGGCAAGCACAACTGTTCCTACCATCTAATTGCTAACAATCCTCGAACTTCTAACGACTTCTAATACTTTTTGGTATTATAAGCATCTAGTTTAAGTTCTGTAAATTTTATTACTAACCATTTATTTTAAATCATTCACAAAGCTCATCACCCAAAAGACAATCACTGTTAGCACACTGATATCTTTTCCAGCTATGACTTACATTTCTAAACCAAGCAAGTGCTTTCTAAGTTAACTTTTACATCTCTTTCATATTATCAAACAAAAAAGGTGGATAAAATTTAAGGAATTTATTCCGCAGAAACACTAGCCTGAGTATATTAGGGTAAATATTTTCTGTTTCAAAGCAAAAACTGAAAATCATGTATGCCAATAAAGGCAGTCATTTAAAAATTACAGCATATTCATAAAATAGATAATGGAGTCATTTAAAAAATGAAAATCTATATACACTAAATTAAAAGGAGGTCCTCAAGGTACAACTATTAATTTACAAAGAAAATAGCAATTTTTGAAGAAGAAACAGGGGTCGCTCCTGTTAACAAATGGTGGTGCATTGTTGTTTGGTTATTCTGTGGTTGCCTAACGCAAACATCTCTATGTATGCATGATATGGAAAGTTCTTCCTATTGCATTGTTCCATAAGAGTCACTGGCAGTCCTTGTCTGATGTTGATATTCTGTGAAATCATTTTTTGTCCAGTAAATTAACATGTTTTAGATAGATGCAAAGCCAGCTAACAGGTATGACTGTCAGGATTGCTCTTTTATGTTTTGAAACAGCTTTATTCCAATAAAACTGGCACACCAAGTACACATATTTAAAGTGTGTAATTTTATAAATTTGGACATGTATATGTCCTTGAAACCACTGCTACAAGAAAGATAGTGCATACATCTATTACCCCCAGAGATCTATTGAGTCTCTTTGTAATTACTCCATACCTAGATCTCTCCACAACTCCTAAAGCAATTATTGATTTAATCTTTATTTATATAGAATAGTTTCAATTTTCAAGAGTTTCAAAAAGTGTACCATACAATATGTATTATTTTATGCTGGGCTTCTTTCAGTGAGCATAATTACTTTGAGATTCATTAAATTTGTGTATATAAGTAATAAACTGCTCAAATAGTAGCTAAATCACTGAATGGATCTACCACAATTTATTTATCTATTCATCTGTCGGTAGACATTTTCATTATCTCAAGTTTTTAACTATTACAAATAAGTTTTCTATAAACATCCTTATATTAAAAAAAAAATTAAGTTGCTTTCCAGAAATGCAGGATGGTTGAAATCAAAAAGTGTAATATACAATGGTATACTGGATTAAAGCAGAAAAACCAAATGATGATGCTAACATTTAAAAATACTAAATTAATACTAACAGGATTATCAAATTCAGAAATTCTTGATAAGTGAACAACAAAAGCTATGACAGTGCCTTAACAACAGTGCTGCATGGTGCATGGAACTGGTCACACCAACCATCTATTCCATAGGATTTGGCAATTTCTGCATGACTTAAACTTCATTTGCTTAGTTTTGTAGTAAGAGAATGCTTTTTCACATGGTTCAGGAAAAAATACACCACACCTTTATTTAACATAGAAGAGCTCAATTCTTGATTCCATAAAACACCTGATTTTTATTTTGCAGAAATAAAACTCTGGTTATCCTTCCCCCAATAATGAATATGTGCATTATTCATGTAACATTAACATACTGCTTCCTTACCCCTACTTTTCTGTAGACAGAGACACTCTGCTTTAATGCCTAATGACATAGTGCAATGCTTTTCAAGACATTTAAAAAGAAATTAAACTGAGCACATGTAGTATAATTCAGCTGAAATAAAATCAACATAAGTGTATTAGTAATTTCTAGCTGATTACAAATTGTACTGTTATAAATATTCTAGTTTAATTCGTGTTTTTATAATTGCATGCTCACATGTATGTTGTATACATAGCAAAATCATAGCTCATAAAAGTGTAGTAAGGATGCCAAGTTTTCCAAGGTGGTTTGGGTTATCACTTTTAACTAGAATACTCACATAATATAAATCCAGAAAAATCATACTGATAATTTTTCCACAGTGCTCTAGAAGGTATTTATGTAAGCATTATAGCAATTTTATTTGTATTGACACTAGTTATTAACATTAGTTTAAAAAGGCATGCAGTTTACTCACAAAAGTAGTTTTGTTTAAAAGATCATTTCAGATTGAAAAGAGCCTTTCCTTTCCTTCCCTTCAGCTTGTACTGAATAGCAAACTATACAACTAAAAGGAAGATAGCAGTGACAATGTTAACAAAAAGCTGAAAGGAAAGGCAAAAGTGTCTCTTTCGCTTAGTAAGAAAAAGGGAGAAAGAGTAGTAAGCTGTCTTGTTAGGAATACCTAAAGTTATGAATTAATAATTATAATAACAGTAAGTAGTTTATGGAGCCATGACATTCGGCACTAATTATTCAGGCACTCTGCCCTTTGAATGTATCAATTCAATTAATCATCCCAATAATGCTACCACTCTTATTATTATCATCCCCATTTTACAGATGAGGAAACTAAGTATCAAAAAAAAGGTGGTAACTTGTGTAAGGTTTTACATTGCAGGCATGGCATCTGAGGAAGACTGATCCTAGCATCCATGTTTACAACCACTATGCCTAAATGGCTATTGAAAAAAAAAAAAAAAAGGTGAAGAACAAAATGAACATCAAGAAAAAGGGATATTTACCAAAACGAAGAAATCCAAATTTTAAGACTAAAAAGATACTAAGGTTTAGTCTTCCTTTCCCTCCTTACCAAATTAATACAATTAACTATAAATGTTGATAATGACAAAAAAAAACATAATTTTTATGGTCATACATAAAAAGTTAAACTGACCAATCAGACTTTATTAGCTAAAGTTTTCAAATGTAACACTAATGAATTCATATCAACAATTTTCTAGCATGCTAAATATAATCAGTCGTTTTTCTTTAATTATATTATTAGGTCACTCTTCCAAAGTTTATCAGTAACTTCTGCATATAAGCATATTTAATTTCAGCATATTTAATTTCTTTTCCACAATAGTTGGAGATTAGTCTCCACTGATGCAGAAAAACATCTTTTTACCATATGATATTAAGTGACTTTAACATTTGTGAATTATAATTGTCTCCTTTCATGGGAACGTTTTAAGTACTAAAATAAATGAATAAGACTGAATCCCTACCCAATTAGTTAATATCTGGAAAGAAATAAGAGGCCCAATAACTGAAAACAAAGGGTAAACAATATGGAGTGTAAATGCATAAGAGACAGCAATCCATTCTAATTATGGGAGGCAGTATCAGAAAAAGTGGTGTTGGACTTGGTTCTTAACTTCTATTGTAGCCCAGTTTAGTGCCAAAATTGAACATAAAAAAAAAAAAAAACAACAGTATGATCTGACCAATTTAATCAATGGAAACTATGACTCTATAACCTGCCCTAAACATACATTCTTGATGCATCTTAAAAATGAATTAGATCTTGACAAAATACACCACAGTTGTTTCACTAAATGATTGACATACGGTATTACTAAGCTATATTTTGTTGGAACAGGAACCTTTTGTCACTTTGTGGTAGAAACTAGATGAGGAACACAGCAGGAGCAGGTATGCAAGACTCTGCTGCCGAGCAGAAGTTCTTGTGCCATTTATTGAAATAACACAGGATCGTGAAAGCTGATCATGCAGCAATGGTATGAGGAATAAGATCCAGAGTATAAGATAGGAGTGGGGGACAAAGTTTTATAAATGAAAGGGTACACACATGACCATGTGTATGATGTTATCATAGGCAGAGTTATCCCAAGACTGCCATGGAGACAGCCATGTAATCAGTTCAACAGTGTTCCAGGTGTCCCTGGGCCTGCCTCAAGATATGAGCTATACTCCTTAGGCAGTCAAGGAATGTTCTACTGTGATCTGTGGAAGCAAATAGGTCACAGTTGCCCTGAGTAGCCAGCTCATAGAAACTCACAGTATTTCTCCTCTACAATACCTATTTTTTCAAGATTCAAGGGCAACTATTCCAAGCTTTATGCCATCTAAAAATGTGCCATTTATGCTTCCTTATATCTTCTAAACATCACTGAGGTAAGCATGGAATCAGCTAGAAATGTGAGGGTTATACTAATTAAAGGTTAAGTCTGACTCATTTAAAAGGTTTCTTCTTAATTCCCTCACAAATGAGGCATTTTATCTGTGGGAATAATCAAAGAAGTAACTGCAAATCAACTTGAAGTTACCTCTCACCTTGTACACTCTGCTAAAATTCTCCCTATTATCTTATTCAATTACATTTTGGATTTAAAATAATAATAAAACTCTACTATAAGATGCCATAGAAATATAATAAATCCATTAAAATTTTAAAAAATTAATATTTAAGTACTCACTAAATCAGTAATATAGTATTTTTAAAGATTTATTTATTTATGCATAAAGAAGTGGGGTACAGGCCAGAGGTTCAGGGAGGTGAGAGGATACAGAGACAGAGGGATTGATTGAAATATACTGCTGAGGGGAGTAGCAGACAAGACAGGAGAGGTCTGAGGTGCCATGTGGCTCACATTCCTGACCAGGGATAGAACTTGTGCTGCAGTGGCAGTGGACAGCTTCATAGTGCTGTGCTTTAACCCGTGCACCACCAGGGAGGGCCCTAATATTTACTGTTTAGAACTATGAAATTTTTGACTATGAAATTTTTGAAACTTAACTACTTTTGAAAAAGTATTACTGTTTAGAACTATGAATTTTTCAAAAAACTTACTTTTGAAAAAGTTCACAAAATTTGATTTATAGTAATAGTCTAAAGATGTCAGATTATATTAAA